AGAGTAAAAGGAAGCCGCATAGGAGAAGGAAGAAGGAAGAAGTTGTGGTTGTTGTACAGCTTTGTGTCCTAGCCAAGAAGGAGGAAGAAGGAAAGGGAGAAGTCGAAGGAGAAGTTTACCAGTGTTGTGCTCTCGTGTGTGTGTGGGAGGAAGAATTGGAAGAAGAAGTTCACGGGTGTTGTTGCATTGAGCTGACAGAAGAGGAAGGTGAGTCGAGTTTCCTACGGTACTCGCGTGCGGGAAGAAACGTGTGTGCTATTGAGACTCGCCTTCATTCATGCATAGCACAACAATCATAAAAATTTAAAGCATATTAGACTATAATTACTCACTAAGTTATACTTACAGTTGCAGTTAATTTTTTCCTTCAGGAGAAGAAAAACTTTAAGGAATACGTTTGAAAGAAAAGACTTTGTTTATCAGAGGAGATTCACTATTGCTAGGTATATTTATTATGAGGATAGTTTCTCTTAACTGTTTCTTTCAGTCATCGATATATTGTTTGATACTAGCTTGAGATGTTATTTTTCGATGTTATTGTTTCTAGATGTTTTAAAAATTATTGCACTTTGTGAATTAGTAATTCTTTTATAAGTATTTGAAGTTTAAAAAATATGTAAATAGTTAGATGTTAACACCGTCTGACCGTTGTTCCTGCCTCAATTAATTCTAAGCATCAGGTTGGTCTTGACAATTGGTGTCCTGTCCCAAAAGCCTATGAGTCTTATCCTTTGGGTTAGAATCTGATTTCGGTTAACTAAAACTAAATTCACCTAAAAACTCCATCAATATAACACAGACATAAACCAACCTCTTACACAACAATTCCCAAAATACAATAATAAGATACTACTTCATGCCAATTGTTTTACAATTCACATTAAGCTCATATGAGGTCTATAGCTTCACTAATACAACCCACCCACTTCCTATGTATTTAAATATCTAACACCTAATTTTTACTTTATTTTACATTTATACCACCAAAATCTTTCATATCATATCAAAATTACCATCATTTTAACTTTTAAAATGCGATACACCTTTCAATGCATAGGTAAAAAGTTTGGGTGTTAGATATGTAAATACATAAGAACTGAGAGGTGTGTATGAAAATCTTCCACAAATATGTAATCAAAATCTAGAAAATTCCTCATTCTTAGTTAATATTCCATAGAATTGCTGCAAAATCTACAGAGAATTTTCAGACTAGCATGGACTGATGCTACTATTAACAGAGTTACAGCATAAATCTGAATCTGGGCACAATGATATCAATAAATAGCCATGTTTTCACTTTCTGCTTAATCTCAAATACTCCCAAAGCCTCCCCATTCTGAATAGACAATCAGCTTCTTCATACCCACTTCCCTTAACCTAGTCGTAGCATTCGAAAGACACATAATTCTAAGCTAGAATTGAGATCAAATAAGGATAAAAATAACAATTAATACCTAATTTCAACGGATAACATTCTATTATTCATCCACATCAAAGAAGAAATAATACCAGAGAGAATCAAACATTAGAGAGTGTTTTTGCAGCGGAAATCCAGGCCCGGATCCTCGTTCGACGGGAAAGATGTAACGGCAGTGACGGCGGCGGCGGGAGGGCCGATCCTGCACCTCCGGTCGATCATCTCCTCTACTTTTTCTGGGCTTCCGGAGAAGAGGGCTTCAACAGAGCCATTCCTCCGGTTCCTTACCCAGCCCCGTAGGCCAAGATCCTCTGCGTTCTCCATCGTCCAATCTCGGAACCCTACACCCTGCACGCGTCCCTTTATCTCCACCCGCACGGTTTTCACGACCATCGTCGGAGGAAGAACGCCGGAAGTTGCAGCTGCGGTGTCCATACTCCTCATACCCGCTTCTATGGCGATTGCGATTTTGAAGATGGAGTGAGTTTGGGGGAACGCAATTACATCCAAATCGTCCAAAACATTGCTATTTACGAATATAGCCCCCAATTTCATCCATTTTTCAAATTCTCTCTCAAATATTATTCTTCATGATAAAATTCTAACCCATACTTTCATTTGAGATGTTTTTTTTCATATCAACCACCCAAAATATTTAATATAACATTTTAACCACTCAAAATTTTAAATATAACACCTTAACTCACTCAAAATCTTCACTTAAAACATTGTTTTATGTATGGCTGTCAAAAAAGCTCGTTGTTCGCGAACAGTTCGTGTTCAGTTCGTCAATGAGTTCGTGTTTGATTAATTCGATAAGTAAAGAAGACGAACGTGAACAATTTTTTTTTCGTTCGGTTAGTTAAACGAACCAAACACGAACAGTGATGCGTTCATTCGTGTTCGAATCATTATTGTTCGAATCATTATTGTTCGAATATAAAATAATATAAAATAATTATATATTAAAAATTTATGATATTTAAAAAAATTAAATTTTATAAATTATAATATATAATAAATTAATAATAATAATATATTAATATACTATATTGGTAACATACTAATATAGATATTATATGTTTATATAATATAAGTTATATAATTAATATAATATATTATTTATATATCTTAATATTAGGGATGTCAAACTGGCTCGTCTTTCACGAACAGCTCGTGTTCAACTCGTGTTCGGCTCGTTCGTTAAGAAATGAACACGAACAGTAACTTCACGAACAATCTAAAACACGAGCTTATTTCAAACAAACTAAATTTCAAACGAACTGAACGCGAACACAAGCTCTGTTCAGTCCGTTTACACCCCTAGTTTTATGAGAGTTGTTGCGACAAAAAAGTGATTAAAATATTTTATTTAATGTTATATGCATATGTTCATTCGCTTAAAAGTATCATCTCAATGTTATATTTATAAATAGTAATGTTTCATGTGTTATGTATGTAATTACCCAAAAATAAAAAAGGATAATTTACATACATTCCACTCAATTCCTGTGTATTTACTTATTTAAGACATTAACTTTAATTTTTACATATAAATTATAATATCTATACTAGAAAATGTATATTTTATTTATTTTAATTAAAACAGTGGTATTTTTACACAACATGAAAATTTTGTGTGGTATAAATGTAAATAATAAAGTTAGGGTGGTATCCCTCAAATTTTTTTATTTACATTTCAACATTAGAATAATGCAGGAAAATTATTATTTTCTAAATATATATTTTATATTTCGAGGATTTTTTTTTCTTCAGAAAAATTAAGGAAAATGCAGCGGCTAGTACATAGAGAGAGGCATAGGTTATAAGGTTAAGTCCAAATGCTTGCATTTGCCGCGATCTTAAACATTAATCAATTTTTAATTATCTATTAATCGCATTATAAGTGCTTAATGACTATATTAACACAAAGATTAATCATGATTAAAGCCTGTTATTCATCGACTTCTCAGCTTAGGGACTGTTTGAGACAATTGCAATTGTTATAAGAAGCAACAAAGAAGTTATTGTTTAAGAAGTTGTGCTCATCGATTTTTTTTTTTTTTTGTCAAAAAATCAAATAGTAATTTTCCGCTAGTCATCGCACTTAATCAAATTAACTGCTTAGGTTGTAAGACACAGTTTTTCCACCATAGCTTCTTGAAAAAGCAGGTAAAAAGTTATTTCCCCAAACACTCGAGCAAGGCGGTCCAAACAGCATCGCTTTCGCCCCAAAATGCACCCCCAAGTCATTAATGGCTAATTCTTACATGATTGAGATATATAAGTGAGGACATAAATCATATATAAAATTTCTTATAAAAAAATTAAAAAAATTCTTTAAAATCACTAGTGTTTATTGGGGCAGCTGCAGCTTATTTAATAATCTGTTGATAAGCTGATTAAAAATAATCTACTGATAAGCTAGATGCGGTGGCTTTTACAAATTTTTATTTTTTTAAAAAAACTAGACCGCTGTCAGTAAGTTGTCACCGCACCTAGATAGGTGTGGTGTGAAAACGTTGTTTTCTGCATTTTCAAAACACATAAGCTGTCAAAACGCAGTTTACCTAAATAGGCTAGGTGCGTTTTTAAAACGCCACCGCACCAAAGAAGCTGCCCCAAACAAACTAAATGTTCAAAATAAGAAAAAAAAACCCTAAAACTTAGTTCTATTTTAACATAAATAAAAATACTCACATATACTTAAAATTTTTGTTTCATTTCTATTTAAATAATTCATAAATATATGAGCATTATATCATATCATTCTTAAATAGCATAAAATGTCCATGTTGACAATTTTATTTTAAAAAAATTCAAATGGGTATTTATGTAAGAAATTTTCTATTTGATGTTTGCCATAAGATTGGTGAGGATAGGTACTTTGAGGAAGGTTCAATGCATGATATATTTATGCAATATTAAAAAAATTATTAATTACTCAATTATTATTAGGAAAATTTACATGCATGTCACATAATTCTCATGTATCTATATATCTAACACCTTAAAATTTATGTGCACGTTCGATCACCAGCACATCATATTTAGTGGAATAGATGATCTTGACATATTTATTCAAAAAAGCCCGGATAATTTTTTTCATTAATTCATCAACAATTTTACAATTTTACAACACAAACCTTACGAGGCTTATGGCGACCACTAATTTGGAAAAATATTGCATCAGGACTCTGAACGTAGAACTATGTTCAAATTACAATAGTTAGAAATATCTCGCTTTGTTACAAGAATATTTCATCTGCGTTATTTGTAAAAAAATGAAGTTTTATTCGAATATTATATGGTGTTATTTAATTATTTTACGGTGTTATTGAAATATTTTCCAACGTTACTTGATTTGAGGTTGAAGTGTTATTGTAATATTCCTAGGCGTTACTTAATTTGAGGATGTGTTATTCCAATAACATAGTGGAAATTAAAATAGCACGAATAATATGTCGAATAACACGGTCTCAAATTAAGTAACGCCAGAGAATATTCCAATAATACCGGAAAATAGTCAAATAACACCATGTAATACTCGAACAACACTTCATTTTTACAAATAACTCAGATGAAATATTCATGGAACACAATCAAATATTAACAACTATTATGTAATATTTTTGCCCACTAATTTTCACTCTGATCTCAACTCATCTTCTCCGAAATCTCCAGTCTCGAGTACCCAACCCTCAATCATCGCCTGCGTGCTGCGCCCCTGATCCGCCGGAACAAGATGGCCGGCGCCGGAAACCACCACATGATTCAAATTCCCCCATTTCTGCAAATACCCTGCTACCTCTCCTTCCACTCTCCACACTCTCCTCTCCGCAGCAAAAAATCTCCCAATCCCCTCCCACTTCATTTCCTTCATCCACGCCTCCGTCGACGCCACCCCATCCCTCAGATCAAAAATTCCCTGATACAGAAGCACGCGAATGTTTTTCACCACCTCCTCCACCATAAACTTCACACTCTTCATTATATCCTTCTTCATCACGCTGCCCACCTCCTCACTGCATTCCACCCAAGTCGTCTCCTTCTTAACCCCAAGCGCGTCCTTCACCTCTCCCCTGTTCAGAAAACCACTCAGCTTCGCTGTCGCGTATGGCTTCTTCTTCCTCAGATCATAGAGCGTCGCTAGACCGGTGGCGTTCTGAAGCCAATGGAGAACCAGGCTGCGCGCATCGGCGGCCTCCGTCCACCTCCCGGCCCTTGCGAGCTCGGCGGCATTATTTTGCAGTTCCTCGAGCTTCTCCCTCTGCCGGTCATTGATTAGCCCTGAGAAGTAAGCGGTGGATGCGTGGGTGCCGATTTGAGCGATCGGGTGGGTTAATCCATTGCCGATGGCTGCGCCGGCGAGGTTAATGCGGAGGGAGGGTGGAAAATTGGGATTTTGACGGAGGATTTCGTAAGCGGCTGCGGGGATGTATTTTCCGGCGTAGCTTTCGCCGGTGAGGTAAAGAGGGCGGGAGCGGAAGTAAGGGGGGTGGGAGGAGAGGAAGGATTGGAGGGCGGAGAAGAGGTGGGCGGCAATGGAGGATTGGTCGCCGGGGATGGAAGCAGGGGAAGGAGCGGAGCTGAAGCCGGTGCCGAGAGGACTGTCGATGAAGAGAAGGGCGAAGCGGCGGTTCCATGAGAAAGGGTTAGGGTTTAGATTAAGATCGTCGGAGATGAGCCATGGGCTGAGCTCGAAGAGGTTTCCGGTCATGGAGGAGCAACCGGGGCCGCCTTGGAGCCAGAGAAGAAGTGGGGTGGAGGAGAGAGGGGAGAGGGGTTTTTGAGCTTCGTAGAAGGCGAAGAAGAGGGCGGCGTCGGTGGAGGAGTTGATGTGGAGGTAGCCGGATTCGGTGGGAAGAGCTGAGGTGGGGTACAGAGGTGGGGAGCCGGCGGCAGCCGGCAGGGGGGAGG